TAAAGCATGTCCCACTGCTTGGAGCCCTTCCCAGGGGCCATGGGACGTGTTTCTCATTCCTGGGCTGGGGTTTATTATTTTCCCTCTATTGTGCAGAGTCCCCTTTATTCCCTGCATGCCCATCCCCAGGGGCCGGGGAAGCAGTGTGGTTTTCTTGTGCTCAGACATGGCTTGCTGCCTCCTCCCAGCCACCCTTTTGTCTTTCAGACGTGATCTCAAGGGCAAAAATAGATGATCCCTGCTCCTTCAAGCACTGGAGACAGACAGCCAGCAGGTGAGTGCATGGAGGGCCACTGGGCTGGCTTGGTTTGAATTCCTGATAAAGGGAGATGATGCTTTTAAAGATAATTTTCTCTGATTCCTGAACTTTCCAGCTGGGGCTGACTGACATCAACTACTTTTTTGGGGACACTCTGCCCTGTGGTGTTGTCATCCCACCTTTGAGTGGCCCAAGAGGTTTGGGAGCACTTGGAAGTGCCACCAGGCCTGCGTGTGCTCGATGGCCACAGGCTGAGGGTGTCCCCATCTCTGCCATGGGGAAGGCAAATCCAAAGGGAATGCCCTGCTCGGGATCCCAGCCCTGCTACAGCCTCTCCCACTCTTGGGCTCGTCTCTGCCTCATGGGATGAGAGAAACATCCTGGCAGAGAGAGCTGGGATTCGGATTCTTGGGTGGAAAATGCTCCACAAGAGCCAGAAATTCCTCTGCTCTGAGTCAGGCTGGGCTCTCCTTTCCCCGGGTCTGCTCCTTTCCCTCCTTGTCTGCAGCGCTGGCCCCGAATGAGCCACGACAGGCCCTGGCTTTGCAGGCAAATACGTATTTAGAAACCAGAGGGCTTTATCCCCTGCAATTATTATCACTTGAATGTAGGTCGGCTTGACAGCTTAGGTGGAAAATCATCTTCAGAGTGTTCCAGCACTCTGGACTCCCTGTCCTGTTAATCCCCATCCTGTTCCCACTTGGTTTTGGGGGAGAAAGCTGGGTTTGGGAGCTGTTTCCCCAGCGCAGGAGGCACTAAGGTGGATTTTAAAGGTGGCTGTCTCCTCCCAAAGGCACAGGAGGGGGCTGGGGGTAGAGGAGATGGGAAGATGCTCCAAAATGCCTGGGGAGAGATTCACTTATCCCTGTGCTCCTGGAAGGTGTCCATTCATCCCTGCTTTCTGTCCATCCCGGTTTGTCTGTCCGTCCCTCCCTCCCCACAGCTCTGCCTGGCTGCGGCGTGTTTGGAAACGCCGGCTCTGCCGCATCCCTCCTGGGAGGCACCGCTCCATCCTCGCTCCCTCAAAACCTCCTCCCTGTATTTTTCCTCCCGAAATCACAACTTCCATCCTCTAAAAAAGCCTCCCCCACGCCGGACCCCCTCCCCTGGCCCAGTGCTATGAATGAATGGCTGGTGGCCCTGTGATGCCATTTCCATGGTGACAGATGGCAGCGGGAAATGCGGGGATCAGGGTCACATGAGAGCAGCGGTAAATTCAGGCAGTTATTTATAGGCTGCTGCTCCAGCGTTTATGGAAATGCGTCTGCCTTCGACCGTGGTATCAGCCCTTCGCCGGCTCTCCGGGGCACTGCTCTTCCAGGAGAGACATTACTCATGCTCTGCTTTAATCCAGACTGTTCCTGCTGCTCAGGCTGGTGTCGGAAAAGTACCGGGCAGAGGGTCTGGTTTATTTTTTTCCGAGCCCGAATCTCTCTGAATCAGCCTCAGCCAAATGCAGCTGTAACCTTCCTGCATCTGCCCGTGGCATCTCCTGTGCTGGTCGCTGCAGTGTGACAGCCTGGGCCACAAACTGAATTTTTGGTCCTGAAAATGTTGGTGGCAGAGCCCAAATCCAGCTTTGTCTCATCTGATTTCAGCTCTGATACATCTGGGTGTATTTCCGTGCCTCAGTTTACCAACCACAACACGCTTTGGTGACGTGTGGGGAGCCAAAGGGAGATTTTCAACCCACAAGGAAGGATTTATGCCACCTCAAGGTGTCATTGAGCCAGCCCTCCCCATCTCCAGCAGGGTTATCCCTGCTCCCTGATGAGATGTACAGGAGCAGGAAGCTGAATGGCTGGTTCAGCCCCTCCTTCATAAGGATCCTTGATTTCTCTTTGCTTAAGACCCCCTAATCACCCGCCTGATCTTCTTTCAGTTAATCTGGGTGTGCAGAGTTTGCTGCTGCTGGCACTTGCAGCCCATGGGATCTGCAGCTCCCCTTCCCCAGCCCCCCAGGCTCAGGCCCATCTTCCCATGGAGGCAGGGCTGGGATGCACCGAAGATCCCCATCTTCAGAAATTAGGGAATCACCGAGTGCTTTGGGTTGAAGGGACCTTAAAGCTCATCCTGCCACAGCAGGGACACCTTCCACCATCCCAGGCTGCTCCAAGCCCTGTCCAGCCTGGCCTTGGACACTGCCAGGGATCCAGGGGCAGCCACAGCCTGTGCCAGGGCCTCACCTCCCGTCCCCTGCGTGTCCCCACTGAGCTCCTGGCTGTCTGTCCTGCCCGAGTCTCCCTTTCCCAGCCTGGCCATCTCATCCTCGGCTTCCCCACCGAGCAAAAGGAACGTTCCACAGGCAGGGCTGTGCCGAGATGCCTCATTCCAAGCACAGGAATCCCAAGTCTTTGGAGAGGTCACGAGGCCTGACCACAGAGCAGAGCAGCCCTGGCAGGCTCTGACCACATCCCACCTCCTCCAGGCTGCTTTGCGTCACCCGTGGCTCCCTGGACCTTTGATTTTTAAACCCTGAGTGTGCTGGGTCCAATCCCTTTCCAGTGCTGAGCTGCTCTCCCCACGCCAGGCTGGGGAAGGCTCAGGTAATGGAGTGTGGCCTCGCTCCTTCCCCAGAGCTGTGGCCACCAGCCCTGGCCGAGCTCCCGAGTACCCGGGAGAATTGATCGCTCTGTGCCTAATAGGCTGGAAAGGGAAACGGGTCCAAAGGCCAGGAATGTGGATAAACACTGCAATCCAGGAGCTGAGGGAGTGTGCTTTGGGGCTGGAGCTTTGAATCCAAGGGAGTTTGTCTCTTCCAAACGTGCTTTTCCTCCTGTCAGGGTTTCCAGCATCCCCAGCACCAGAGATACACTGCTTGGGAAAATGCATCCAGGCCCCCTCGCTGGGGTGGAAGAGCTGAAGGTGTTTTTTCAGGGCCAGGAGACTTTTCTATGAGATACTGAACCAGAAATGAACTCCTCTGAGAACTTTTTCCCTCTTTTCCCTGCAATGAACCAACCTAACAGCCCTGTGCTTTTCCTGATTAATCTGATTAGAGCTTTTCTGAGGGCAGCACTGAGCAGACGGGGAAGGCTGAGCCCTCCAGGTGTCCTGTGCTCTGCTCCCCACACCGAGAAGCCGTGGGGAATTGGGCCTAAAAAGCTGGATTTGGGGTTTGTGCAAGGTATTTCTGCCTTTGCCAGACTGAATGTGCTGCTGTATCCCATGTCCTGTTGGGAAGGAAAGTTGTGTCCTTTAATCTGAATTTCATCATCTGCATTACAGGTGGGTTAAAATTGGAGACCTCAGAGCAGCCTGCCAGGAGCTGAAGGGGCCTGCAAGGGAGCCAGAGAGAAACTGGACAAGGGGGAATGGGTTTGCACTGAAAGAAAGGGAATTTTGCTTAGAAATTAGGAAAAAATCCTACTCTGTGAGGGTGGAGGAGCCCTGGCACAGGTGCCCAGAGCAGCTGTGGCTGCCCCTGGATCCCTGGCAGTGTTCAGGGCCAGGCTGGATGGGGCTTGGAGCAGCCTGGGACAGTGGGAGGTGTCCCTGCCATGGCAGGGGTGGGATGGGATGAGCTTGAAGGTCTCTTCCAACCCAAACCATTCTATAATAGATGCAAATATCTCAAATATCTCAAAGCTGGCTGACACCCCAGCTCGGCCCTCTCTGGTCAGGGCTGCTCCTGGGCCCTTCTGGCAGAGGGAACCTGTGTGGCCAGAGCTGTGCTGTCCTCTGAGCCCAGTGCTGGCCCCGGGGTCCCCGAGTGCCACCAGCACTGGGGCAGGTTAGGGATCCACACCTGAGTGAGGGGGAGCAGAATTTGGGGCCTGGCCACTCCTCCTGTGTCCCCTCCTGTGTGGTCCCAGCCAAGGAAAGTCCTCTGAAATCCCAAACAATGAAGGAGATATGAAATACCTCCCTCAAATAACGAAATATAGTGGGTTTAGATTAGATTTTAGGGAAAATATCCTTCCCTGTGAGGGTACTGAGCCCCTGGCACAGGTGCCCAGAGCAGCTGTGGCTGCCCCTGGATCCCTGGCAGTGTCCAAGGCCAGGCTGGACAGGGCTTGGAGCAGCCTGGGATGGTGGAAGGTGTCCCTGCCATGGCAGGGGTGGGACGAGGTGCTCATCAAACTCCCTTCCAGTGCAAACCATCCTACAAATCTCTGCTCATAAATCAGGGGAAAGGGGTGCCCAAACCCTCCCTCCCCCGGGGGAAGCAGCAGCCGGGAGGGCACCCCTGGGGCCGCTCTTTAGGGGCGTCTTAAGGCGGTTTTATTTCCCCCACAGCAAAACCAAACCCACCCCTTGTGTCAGGACTCGATGCTACTTTTATTTGAACGCGAGAGCCTCCCTCGGAGCAGGGGGGGTGGCCCGGCACCCCAGCTTTGACGCGCAGCCCTGGTGACTCAAGCCTGCGTCAGGGGCTGCGTGTCCCTTCGCGTGGATTTTTTTTTTTTTTTTTTTTTTTTTTTTAATCGCTTTTCCCTTTCTTTCTTTATTTCCCGGGAGCCGAGCGGAGTTACCTCCCTCCGGTGAAGGCGAGCGGGGCCGGGCGAGCCCAGCGCGCATCCACCGGGCGGTGGCGGGGCGGGGGACCCGGAGCGGGGCGGGGGACCCGGAGCGGAGCCACCGGGACCCGGAGCGGGGCGGGGGGACCCGGAGCGGAGCCACCGGGACCTCGGAGCATCACGGCGGAGCCGCTCCCGGGCACTGCTCGCCTTCCCCGGCCGCTGCCGCTCGCCCGGCTCCCCGCAGCCCCGGGGGGGACCTGGCTGATTTCTACCGGGAATTTGCGCCGTTTCCTCCGGGACCGGGCCAGTTTCTCCTGGAATCGGGTCGGTTCCATCCTCCCAGGGAGGCGCCGCAGAGCCGAGGTAAGGATGCTCCCCCATCCCCGCTCTCGCTGCCGGGGTCTCCCCGCCTCGCTGGGGGCTCTGGGAGCCCCCTCCCCACCGGGGTCTCTTGCGGGGGGAGATGCTCAGGGCCGGGGTGAGGTTCACCGAGGGGACACCCCGGCCTGGAGGCACCAGGCGTGGCCCTCTGGGTGGTGGCACCCAGGGCTGGGGGGACGTTTAGAGACCGCTGAAGCCACTCCAGGGGTGGGGGGGTCACCGCCGGGGGTGGCCGGGGGCTCCTGCCCGGCTCGTGCTGGTGGGGGGCTCATCCCGCTCCAGGATGGGTGGGAATGCAGCCTCCAGGTTGACCTTGACGATAACATTGGGAGAGGAGAAAGCGTTCGGCTGCAATGAATATTTCAGTCCTGGCCCCTGGAGTGATGGGATTTTATTTTCCCCTTTTTTATTTTTATGCTGCTCCCTGAGTGTGGATGGTTGGGTTTGAGGTAGAAAATGGGGCTTGGGGTCCTGGTTTTGTGAAATTCCTGGTATTGGGTGTGGGGAGCCCTTGGCCCGTTCTGTGCACCGCTGGATACACCCAGAGGTGTGTTTTTCGGGCTGGCCTCTTGGCCAGGTCCAAATTTCCATCACCCCAGGAATGTGGGGCTCAAACCAGCTGAGAAATCTGCTCCCAGCTCTTTGTAGAGGACCCAGAAGGTGAAATCCTGCTTCCTGGATCACGCCTTGGGTCTGAAGCACCTGAGGTTTGAATCCGTCAGGAGCTGATGTAACTATTCCTGGTCCTGGTAGGAAAAAAACCTGGAGCAGCGCGGCAGCTGAGCTATTCTCGGCAGGGCAGAGAGCTCCTTGTGAATATTTCTCCAGAGGTGTCAGGACTAGGTCAAGGAACCTGGCTGGGGGTGTGACTGCTCCAAGGGAAATAAAATGTGGGTCTGAGCAGTCCGCTGGAATGAACTGGAGATGGCTCTGCTAAAATCAGTAGGAATAAAATGGTTCAGTTTAAATCTGGAGTGACTCCACTGCTACCTCAGGCTTGCACCGAGCAGGGATTCAGAGCAGGGAATCTGGAGTTACACCAGAGCTGGAGTCACGAGGATCAAATTTACCCCAAATCAGACGCTGACCTGCGCACGTCCAGGTGAAACCATCGCCTCGGGAGGCAAGGCCCTGCTTTTACCCCTTCCCGGGCTGGGTTTGGACTTGTTTGTTTACAAACGTAGCAGCAGCTTGATGAATTACAACAGGGAAAAGCAGCGCTTACGGCGGGGTTTGGGTGCTGCCCGTTTGCTGCTTTTTAGGATAAATCTTGGCTGGTTTGGGGTTCTGCCAGGAGCCTTTGGCTGGAGTGGGTGAGTTACAGTGGATCACTGAGGTCTAAGTGGCAAACGATCATCTGGTGAATCAAACAGAGCCCTGAAGGAATCATATGATGGTTGGCTTTGCTCTGGTGTCACGTTGTTGCAGCTGTGTGTGTTTTCATGCCGCCGAAGGAGACGTGAAAGGAGCCCAAAGGCGATGAATCAACGGGCTCATACGCTTCGTGACAAACCCAGGTGCCAGGGCTGCTCCTCCGCCCGTGTCCATCTCGTGATGCTTCCGGAGGCTTCCAGGCTCCTGCTGGGGACAAGAGGCGCTGTCCTGTCCCAGCCGTGCCCCTCTGAGGTGGGACCCACCCTGGCTGGAGCAGGGGGCTGGTGTAGCCCCAGCTCTGCTTTCCTGTAGAGGAATTGGGGTTATTTTTAACACCTGGGCGCTGGAGGAAGCCGCTGGGGTGGGTGGAAGGCAGAAGCGGGGGCAGCTCTGATTCATCAGCTCTCCTGTGTCACGATGCTAAAGCGGGACGGGGTTTGCACGGGAAGGACAAGGAGCGGCTCCAGCCCCTGGCAGGGAAATGCTGCCCCAGCATTCCCTCCAGCCCCAACAGCCCTGGGAAGCTTCTGGCAGGTGTCCCCGTGCTCTGTCACCTGCTCACGCTGACCCCGTGTGAGCTTTGTGCCTCCCCGGGGTGGGTGTGAGGAGGGGACAGCCCTGGTGGCACTGGGTCACCCCTGGCCTTTCCCGGGGGGTGGGAGCCGGGTGCTCATTAACGGGGCTCATTCTAACGAGGGGAGAACGGGAGCAGCCCTAAGGACCCCAGATGGTGAAACCCTTCCCTGTGGAGCCAGAGGCCGAGCAGGGAGGAGCAAACCCCAGCACGGAGCAGATTTAAGATGGAGGTGTCTTGGACCAGCCTTGACTGGTGGAAAAGGGAGGTTTGTGTGGCAGAGGCTGGGGGAAGGTCCTGTGAGCTGGGCAGGGGAGGGCAGAGCTGCAAAAACTCTGCCTTGGGCACAAATCTCTTCTTAAGGCTTTGGAGAGAAGTTGGGATGCTGCTGGGAGGGTCCTGCCCTTGGTTTCCTGCGGCTGGGAAGAGCGGGATGCTTCCTGAAGGACCAGGGCAATCCCCATCCCATCACAGAGGCTCTCCTGACCTCAGGGAGCAGCAGGAAGGGGCCTGGTGCTGGTTTTCTTATGACTTGGGCTCAGAGTGGGCTGTACAGCCAGGCCTCCTTCCCTTGGCTCTTGGGAGGGACAGGAGGGATCCGTTCTCCTTCCCTCTGCTTCCGGGGCTCGCGGCTCCTGGCTGACCTTGGATGTGTCCCTTCTCCTCCCTGTTCCAGTCCCCCCAGCTGCACCGAGCAGCCTGGCTCTGGGTGCAAGGTTCCCCTGGCTCTGTGTGTGCCAGGAAGGATGAGCAGCTGCAAACTGATGCTCAGATTTCCCAGCCCGAAGCTGAGAGTAGATTTCCACCTCCTGAAATCCCTCAATTCCTCTGTCCCCACTCCTCCCTCCTTTCCCTGCTCTGTGACCTTGATGGGGCGAGCTGGCCTGGTGAGCTGGATGCTTCACCAGGAACATCTTCCCCCTCTCCTTTAGGAGCTGTGGGGGGTTTGTGTGGAAGCTGAAATGTTAATTTTTAATTCACCCAATCTCATCTTGTGGCTTTTCCTGCCTCAGTTTCTCTTTTCTCGACCCAAACAAGGGATAAATGTAGAATTTGGACACAGAAGTTCCCCTGCGCCCCATCATTTGGACCCAGAGCACGTTTGCTGCTCTCCTTGGGTTCTGCTGTAAATCCCCATCTCCTCCCTGCCTTCCCCTGCGCTCCCAGGCCCAGCTGAAAGCTTTGCTGACACATTTCCAGCCTGTTTATTGCTCCCCAGCTGCCTTCCCAAGGAAGCAAGGATGGGCTGAGACAGGACACGTGGCTCGGAGGCTCCCTCCTCCCCTGACCCCTCGGTGATGCTGCTGGGGGATGTGGGGGGTCTTCACTCATCCCAAATTGCAGCTTTTCCCCAGTGGCTGCTTTTGGGATTGGCGGGAGCCTGTGAGCAGGGATTAAACCCCCTGGGTGTAACAAGGCAGCAGCTCCTCCATCCCTGCCCTTTCCCTGGTGGGTTGGATCCAGTTTGGATCCCATGGCAAACCAGTTCCACGTGCCTCAGAGCCACCGCAGCGCTGGTTCCCACGCCAGCCCAAAGGGGTGCGGTGCTCAGGGTCACCCCGTGTCACCTGGACAGGAGGACATGGAGGAGGGACCTTCACTCTGTGCCCAGGGGACTGGCCTGGGAGTGGTGGCTGCTTCCTGAGGAGTTAAATATGAAGGGATCTTGTAGTGGGAATCCTGTTCAAGGACACCCCCAGGGACATGGAGCAGGACGAGGTGAGTCCTCCTCTCGTAACGCCTGTTCAGGGACACCAGCACTGACCACAGCACAAACTGCTCCTTTCCAGGGTCCCCTGTGGGAAAAGCCGTGTTCCCTCTCCAGGTGGGTGGCACCAGCACTGGTTTTACCTGGGCAAAGCTGTGGGTGCAAAGGCAGCCCCGGTCTGGCAGCATGAGTGAGGTTCTTGCAATCTGTGGGCTCTGAAAGACCCTAATCTGTCTTCTAAAGAGAGAGAAAAAATGCACATTTAAGAAAATTAAGGTCATGGGGACTAAGTAAACAAGCTGAATCTCCATCTGTCGGTGACAAGGGTTTTCTATCTCTCTCCAGCCCGGAAAGCTCCTGGTTGTCAGCTGATCTGCCTTGTCTTTCTCACAGGGTGGTTGTTATTTTTGGCAGATGAATTTTTGATTAAATTCCCTTTTCAGCCAAAGAAACGCACGGAAATACCTTTCTCAGATGGATTTGGACTGTGCTTTTTCATTTGAGGGTGCAGATCTTGGGGCTGATGCAAAAGGCTGGGGAAATTAACAGGAAGAGCCCTGCTGACCTCGCTTTCCCTGGATCATGTTCCTGTGCTGTGTGGGCTGGTGGCTTCATGCAGGTTCTGGCTGGGCTCATCTCCCAGTTCCGGCAGAGATGGGGATGGCGAGGGCTGGGTGTGCTCATGGAATCACTGCTGGGAATGATCCTCTCTCCTTCAGGCCTGGATCTCTGCCAGGCACCACCACCATGCCCAGGCTGGGGCTGAGCCACTGGGAGACAGCAGGAGCTCCCCAAAGCAGCCATGGGGACACTGCCAGAGCCATTCCAGGATCAAGATTTGGATCCCTGCTATGGTTTTCCCCTCTAGTTTAGCTCGGGCACATCTCCCACGGGCAGGAAGACTTGTACCTCCATCCTTCACCCTGATGCCAATGTTCAGAGAGCCCTTCCCTATGCCATTAGAGCAGCCAAGCAGCCCCGCTGATTGCCCAGGTCCTTTGGGAATGTTGCTGTCTGGAGTGTGTTCCAAGGCTCTGAGAGCCTCTGGGGCTTTGTAGGTGCTGGGAGGACTCGGCTCCTCCAGGATCTGTGTCCTGGTGCCTCTCAGCTCCTCAGAACAGCTCGGGGAGACCCTAAACTGAGGAGAGGGAGAGGCTGAGATCCAGAGGGATGTTGTCCTGACTCCACGGTGCTGGCCTGGATCAGCACCACCTGCCCTGGAGCTCAGCACTTCCAAGGGGTTGGGCTGTCCCAGGAGAACTGTTTGGGTGCCCTCACCCTGGGCCACTGAAATCTTGGGTTTGGCCAGTACATCCTGGACCTTCTTGTCTCTCTCCCTCATCCTGAGAGACACTTGGGCCCCAAGAGTCCTCCTGGCGCTCTGGAGAAGCTGCTGAGCAGGCAGGGAGCAGTGTCAACCCGCGGGTGACTCAGCCAGGTCTGCACAAATCCACCCAGAGCCCGAGCCAAAGCTGCTGGAATTCCTTGGATGAGGCCGTTCCCCTGCTCTGTGCCCATCCCAGCCCGGCTGAGGCTGCTCCAGCCCCGGGCAGCCACGTGCCGGTAATTGCCACGATTGAGCCGTGAGCGGTTTATGTGAATGAGCCCTCGTTAGGAAATTAAACATCGCTGGCCTAGGCTTGAAAAAATAACTCCAGCGGCTTCTCCGGAGGAGCCGGATCCAGGAAAGATGTGGAGCTGAGATGGTTGCCTGGCAACGGATGCAGCCGACAGTTGAAAATAGATTTTTTTCTTATAGGAACAGGGCCTGGCAAAGGGGGAACTTCTGTCAGGGGTGAGAAAACACCAAGGTGAGGGTGGGTGAGGGGGAGGTTTCCTGCTCCCAGTGCTTTGCTCTTGGGCTGGGACCCCGTGCTTGGGATGGGATTTGCTGCCTGGGCTGAGCCCACTGCCCTGAAATGGGTTGGGATTGTGGGCTGAATTGGATTAAAAATGCTCGAGGGAGAGAAGAGCTGGGGATGGCTCTGGAAAAGCCCCCAGGGTGGGAGGAGGTGGCGCTGCTGCCCAGCTGGGGTGGGTCAGGTGTCCGAGCACAGCAGCATCGCTCTCTCACGGCCCAGCCGGGTGTCCCCTGGGAGCAGAGAGGGAGAGGACAGGAAAAAGGAAGTGTAGCTCTTCGGGAGGATCACTTTTCCAAGCTGAGGGATTTGTTATGGGAGTTCTGTGCACCATGGTCCAATCCAGGAGGGAACTGCCCATCTGACCCCAGCTCTCCCAGCATGGAGAGGAGGGATGTGGTTCTTTCCCAGTTTGGGGATCCCTGGCCCAGTGGAGCAGATTTTCATGATGACACCAAGATTTTTGAGGCAGGTGAGAAACCTGCAGGGCTGGGCTGGGCTCTGGGCAACTTCTGAGGTGCTTCTGTGCAGGATCGCTCCTCCTGACCTGCTCTGAAGGCTGGGAAAGAGAAGGGGCCAGGGTTGATGGCTTTGCCTTGGCTGCTGCTGTTTTTGCAGCCGTTATCTGTTGTAAAGCTGCCAGGGGAGATTTAGCATCAGGCTCCAAGGCTTTTAAGTCACTCCTGATAACTTCCTGGGATGCAGAGATAGCCTGGGCATTTGTCACTGTCCCCTGAGTGCTTCCAAGCTGTCGTGGAGCGAAGCCTGGGCTGTGCTGATGGTCAGGAGGGGAAGGAGCAGGACAGGGAGGGCAGAGCCTTGGCCAGGGCTGGATTTGGTGTCAGGCTTTGTGCGGTTCAGCTGCTGGGCCAGAGGAGTTAGAGGGGAGAAGAGGTGTCACAGCAATGTGACCGGCTCCATCCCCTGTCACTGTCCCCTGGAGCCCAGAAATTCCTCTCTCTGGGACACAGGAGGCTCTCCTCACTCTCCATGAGTGAGAGCAGCTGTGGCTGCCCCATCCCTGGAAGTGTCCAAGGCCAGGTTGGGTGGGGCTTGGAGCAGCCTGGTCTATGGAAGCTGTCCCTGACCATGGCAGAGGTGGGGTTGGATGAGCTTTAAGGCCCCTTCCCACCCAAACCATCCTGGCATTCTGTAATTCTCATCCAGAGCGCTGCTCCTGGTCCATCATTCCTGGAGCAGGAGACCCTCCAGGTTCAGATGAAGGTCCTCAAGGCACGGGGGGATGGACCCCCTCCTCTCCCGGTGCCACCAGGTCACCTGGGGATAAGACAAAACCAATGACCCCAGCTGACCCCTTCCCCACCCAGGTCCTGCTGATGAAGAGGAGGTGAGGCCCGAGCCGTAGCTCACGCTCTGTGCTGTTCCTGTGGGACGTTCATCCCTGACCCCATCCCGCCCCCGGGGCCGCCTGGAGCCGTCCCGATGCCGAAGAACAGCAAGGTGACGCAGCGGGAGCACAGCAGCGAGCATGTCACCGAGTCGGTGGCCGACCTGCTGGCCCACCAGGAGCCCGTGGACTACAAACGCAGCACCCTTAACGTGACGGGGGAGACCTGGGACAAGCAGAAGGAGGGAGATGAGGACCTGGATGCGGAGAGGCCGGCGTGGAACAGCAAGCTGCAGTACATCCTGGCACAAATCGGCTACTCCGTGGGGCTGGGCAACGTCTGGCGCTTCCCCTACCTCTGCCAGAAGAATGGAGGAGGTGAGAGATGGGGCAGGGATGGGATCAGCCCTTGGAGAAGGGGGTGTGACCCAATCCTGCCTCGCTGCATGTTGGGGTGAGGATCCCAGGGCTAATTTGGGCTCTGAAATGGGTTTTTGGGGCTCTAAAGTGTGTTGTTTGGGCTCTGAAGGGGGAAAGGGCTGCCAGAAGCTGTGCTGAGATGGGCTCTTCCTCTTCAGGAACCACCTGCCCACTCCAAAGTCATGGTGAATCCCAGGCTGGGAGCCAGGATTTCCGATTCCTGTTGGGGCAATTTGGAAATGAGGGCTAAAAAGGGAAGAGTCTCTCAATTTCCCTGGGTCCTGGAAGCCACATTTTGTGGTTCTACCCCATTCCCAAATCCTCCTTCCAGCCAGCCCATTCTCTCATCCCACTCCACGCCTCCTCCTTGGGCTTCCAGAGTGCCAGGTCCTTCCAGCTGTCCAGGTCCTTCATGACACTGATGGCAGCGTGGGTTCCTCATCATTAATCCAAACCCAGCCCCTTCCCAGCCTTGCTGGAGGGAGCCAGGACCAGCCCAGTGGCCCCATCCCTCCGAGCTCTCCGTGCTCCCAGCGCTGCATCCTTTGCCGTGGCCCCAGCCCTGCAGCTGCTGAACCTGCAGCGCTCTCAATAATTCAAACATCTCCGGTGTCATCGTCAGGATGAGTCATTGTGCCAAACAGAGACCTGTGCAGTCAGCACTCCCCTCCCGGGGCTGCTCCCTTCCCTTCCCTTCCCTTCCCTTCCCTTCCCTTCCCTTCCCTTAC